TAGGTGACACCTTACTTAGATGGCTGCTTATTTTAAGACAAGCATTTAAGAGTCTAGACACTTTTCTTTCTGATAGCCAGGTACCATCTGATTTCTTTACCACACTTTATAAGATCCGTATCTTCAAGGATCGCTTCATGAGGGAAAGTACTGAACAGGGCTACACCATAAGAACTGATTGTTCTTAGGCTTGGGTTTATGATTAAGTGTGAGTGTTTGAACCCATTGTTGCAGCCACTGTGTCAATCCATCTTGTTAAGGTGTGCCTCTTTTTCTCTGCCCTACCTCTTTACCCAACATTATGTCCTTTGTCCAGAGTATAAGTGTGAGATGAAGTCTCACTATCTTTGCTTCTAAGGAACATCTGGCTGTACTTCTTCCAAGACAGATTTGTTTGTTTTTTTGCAGAGTATGGCCCTCTTGTTTCTTAGGGTTATTTATTTTTAAAGAATTATGCTTACTTCAGTTATTGCTATATCATTAATGCTCCAAATTCTCTTCATGGCTTGGTATAAGTAAAAAAAAAAAGAGGTCAACTTTGAGGAAAGGCTAAGCGGCAACTTAATGTACTAATTCTTGTAAATCTTAAAGAAGTAGTAAATTTAGGAGCAATCAGTTTGAAATGTTAGAGAAATATAACAAATAATATCTATGGAAGAGGTAAAAAAAGAGGTCAAAGAAGCTCTTCTATCCTGCATTTAAGTGTAACTCTCTTCCCTCATGAAGACACATGCTAGCATTAATGTCTTTGAACTCCTATCCTTTAAGTCAGGAAGCACTGAAAGATGTGCAAATATAATTTCTAAGTGGATATGACTTAGAGTGATGTTTAGCAGATGAGTGTCTGCTTACTATTTTAACTCAAAGGTATTACTCAATGAACAAAATCTGATTCTAATAAAGCTTTTAGTTTAAAATGTTTCTCTCAGTGTCATGTATGACTCTATAATATTAGGTTTGCAAGCATGCGTTGTACAATATTGCCAACGGCAGGGGTTTGTGGTGATAGCTAAGCATGAGTAGTTTTATAGATTTTAAGCAGTTACTATAAAAATTTGTTTCCTTTGGTCTTTAGTTATTATATTGATGATCTTTTTCTGAAGCCATATGGAGAAGACTACTATTTTTCTTTTACCTTTAAAAATGTAATTAGGAATAAAAAGCATTTACAAAAATCTGAAGATGATATCAGAGAATTATATAAATTATCAAATAGTAATTGGAAATATAATACTTGATTATATTAGCTTGAAAATTTTGCTTTGTTTGAGGTTAATTTTGTATTATAAGTAGGGCTTGGGACCAGTTTGAAACTGTTCGGTCATGGTCGATGGAAACAAGGAAAGCGTGCATGTTAATTTCATAGCCAATAAATCTCTTGGCAATAATTTTGACCCAAGCAAGAAGCAGGCACAATTCAAATTTAAAACCATTGAAGAATAATAGAGACCTACTATGCAGGCTTTTATTAAGAGGGTCAGTGTGTTCCATTGCATAGTAAGACTTCCTAAAGCTCACTTGATGTTTCATCCTTACGTTACTAGTCACACTTCTTCTCCTTTTCTTGCCTGCCTTGAAAGTAGATGGACTAACCCCTGGTGAGCTCTCTTGGCTCTTTTCTTTACTTCTCTGCTTTCCAGCCTCCTTTCCTCCTCTTTCTCACGCTCCTGGATCTTTCTCTCTGGCACCTTCTTCATCACCCTCCTATCCAACACCGCCTCCCCCTCCCCCTTTGCCATATGTATTTATCAAGTTCTTTGCTTTTTAGGTATATGAATTTGGAGCTATCTTTTGTTTTCTTTTTTGTGTTTCAATTTATTTTATTAGAGGTACTACCAATATGTGCCTCATAGCATTGTTTAGAGACGTGCAGAGCTTGTATAGTCTTCAATAAGCATATATAAAATGCTTACAATCATGCCTAGGTCTAGTGAGCATACAATAGAGGTTAGTTTCTTCTGCTATTGCTTAAATTATATTATATTCAGGCATGGTCAGACAGCAAGGTAGAAGAAGTGGAAATGGCCTTCAAGGAGTAGAAGAGCCTTCATTTCTGTACTCAGGATCCAGTGTTTTCTTGTCTCTGTTTCTCCTTTAATCCACCCTGCTTCTCCTGCTAGATTCCTCTCTTTCTTTGTTCCCTCTTACTAACTCTGCGGAGACCTCAGCTACCAGACCCGCTGCTGTCATGTCGGCTCTGACTCATAATGACCTTAACAAGGAGAGGGAAGAACTACCCCTGGAAACACAGTGCCACCTCTTTCTCCCAAGGAGTGGCTGATGGATTCAAATCACTGGTCTTTTGATTTATACTTGAGTGTGTTAACCATTGCACCACCAGAGCTCCTATGGGATTCTGTTGCCTCATAGGGTCTATGTGCTTACACGTCTCTTGGGTTTGCTTGTTTCCTATGTCATAGTCATAATACTCAAGAATTGATACGGTTATTTTATCCGGCATTGTAATTTCCAGGACCTCCATTGGACTGCATCAACATTTAGAATTGGACTGCACTTGAGGTCCAACTGGGAATGGAGGTGGGAAAAGACATCATTCCCCTTCCTGTTTCAAAGAAGTAGCTGCTGGAGGGGGAGACAGCCGAGTGACCAAGGCTGGATGTAAACTTTAATGGTTTTTCTAACATTTGTGGGACCTTAAAAAAATGCATGGAAAAATTCCATTATCTTTTAATTACGTTTGCTCACTAACTTCGTGAAGTCCTCTCTTATATCTGCACTTCTCTGCCCCCCCCTCCTCGCTTTCTGCGCTTATGCTCCTTATCACATGTCTAGAAAAATGACAGTAGTCATTCCTGTTGGCATTTCTGTACTGCCTTAAAAAATGTTCAAGGTCATGATGGATTCCCTTGGAGACAAATACATATTGCTTCTAACAGAAATAGAATGTATCTGCTGGTTTGACCTTTCTGTGGCAAGAATAAAGCACTTTTAGGAAAGATTATAGTTACAGAGAAGCATAGTCACTGTCAGGACAGCATTCTGAAAGATCAGTGACCCTTTCCCACTCAGTCAGTAACTTCATCTATAAAATAAGGGGACTGTTAGAAAGGATACATTTTATGTGGTTGTAAAACAACAACAACAACAACAACAAACTTAACGATCATATGAAGTTTTCCAAGTCAATTCTCTAGGGTATTTGAGAAAAGTAGACAAGCAAATAAAATAAGTGTTTTTTTGGGGTGGAAGAATCATACTGTTACTGTTTTGATTTGGGTAGTTCTTAAATTTTCTTCATAATTTAGATTTTCTAAATGGAAATTTTCATATCTACTTGTTAGGCCTGATTAACTAGAGAAACAAATCCAGTGATACTCATATATGTGAACCAGAGAGTTTTATATCAAAGAGCAATTGTATATTGAGAAAACATCACAGCCCAGGTTAAGTCAATATTAGCCCAAAAGTCTGATAATAGTCCATATGTCTCTCTTCAGACTCACACAGCCACATGCAATGATGCAGAATGCAGGAAGATAACAAATTGGTGGGTGAAAAGTCTTGTGGATCCTATGGAGGTGGAAGCATCACGGGGCTGGTACAGGTCTCTGCTGGACGGCTCACTCAGGTCTCAGCATGGCCCCACATGCCTTGTCAGCAGGAAGGTGAAGCAAAGAGAGAGTGTGGCCCATTTCCAGGGAGAAAGAGAGGAAGTTCCCAGAATCTTCATGAGAAGGCCACGCCCACAGGGAGGGATCATCAGACTGTCTTGATTGACAGCCCAGGCTTCACCTCTACACTTATTTATCAAGTGGACTTGCAATTATGTAACTACCACACTTATCTAATCTTTATTTTTTGTGTGCACTAATAGATTACAAATGAAGTTAAGATGCTTCAAAACAAGGTAATACAACAAGATAAACGACTGGCTGCAGCAATGGTGCGTGATGGTTCCCTTCATATCACCTTGCTGATAATGCAGTTATTAGATGAAGATGAAGTGAACATGTGAGTAATGTGTCTTTCTTGAATAGTACTTTCTAAATTATTACTTTAGTATGACTAATCAAAGCAGAACCCAAAGAGGCATTGGAATTCTAAAGAAGTATTCTTTAGTATAATTTATTCCATTTAATAATCAAGCTACAGATATGAAGTGGGCTTTTTAAAAAACATAGGTTTTTGAAGCATTTAGCCTTTTACACAACAGTATATTTGGAAATAGACATGGTGAAACAGTACTGGATGACTTAAAATGTTAGTGTGCTCTGGGGGATTAGCTACTGAAAAGTTATGAATAGCAATGGAACATTGTGTGATAGGGGCTGGAAGATGAGCCCCTCAGGGTAGCAGACAATGGAGGAAGAGTTGGGTTCTCAAAGTACAGTAGACCGAGTGACATGGCTAGAGCAATGCTTTCATGGAGGACCTTTATTTGCCAATGGGACTTGAGTCAAGATGAAATGAAACAGTTGGAAACATCCACTAGTAATTGGAATGTGGAATGTACTAAGTATGAATCTAGAAAATTGGAAGTTGTCAGAACTGAATTAGAATGCATAGAGATTGATATCCTGGGCGTTAGTGAGCTAAAATGGATCGGTATTGGCAATTTTGAATTAGAGAGTCATATGGTTTAACATGCTAGGAATGACAAATTCCAGAGAAATGGCATCACATTCATCGTCAAAAAGAACATTTCAAGATATATCTTTGTCTGCAATAGGATCATATCTATACAGCTACAAGGAGGTTAATGCAGCTATTACTCAAGCTTATGCACCAAGTACTAAACCCATGATGAAGTAATTGAAGAATTTGATCAACTTCAGTCAGAAATTGAAAAAGCATGCAGTCAAGATGTGTTGATAATTACTAGCAATGGGGTTGTGAAAATCAGAAACCAAAAGAATCAATAGTTGAAAATAAAACTTTGGTGTAGAAACAAAGTTGGACATAAAACTTTGTAAGACCAATGACTTATTCGCTGCACATACTTTTTACAAAAATATAAACAATGATTGTGCACATATACTCACCAGATGGAATACAAATGGGTCAACTTGACTCCATGTGAGGAGAGGGTGAAGTTCAATATCATCAGGCCAAACAAAGCCCAAAGCCTGATTTTGGAACGGATCAATTGCTTTTATGCGAGTTCAGGTTGAAGCTGAAAAAAATGAAAAGAAGGCCCCCCGGAAGGCTAACCACAACCTTGCGAAGACCTCCAGGACAGATCTGACACATTGAATAATTATTGAAGACCGGAGAGTTGTGGGAAGATATCAAGATCATTATACCTGAAGAAAGCAAGAGGTCATTAAAAAGACAGGTAAGAAAGAAATAGACAAAAAGAGGTGTCAGAAGAGGCTGAATGGAGTCAGAAGAAACGCTGAAATTTGCATCCTTGGGAGAAATGATGAAGTGAAAGTGCAGAACAGAAACTTTCAAAAGGTAGCTGGAGAGGACAAAGTTCGAGTATTATAATGGAATGTGCAAAGACCCAAAGTCAGAAAGCCAAAAAGGAAGGATGTGGTCAGCACGTCTTGAGCTGAAAGAACCGAAGAAACAATGTAAGTCGTGAGTTATAATATTGAAGGACTCTGAGGCTAAAATACTGAATGATGCAAGGAGTATCAAATATATGGAAGGAACACACAGAGTCACTATACCAAGAGGCACTGCTTAAAACTCAACCATTTTCAGGGGTTAGCATATGATAAAGAATAGATGATATTGAAGGAAGACGTCCAACCTGAAGACGTTGGTGAAACACACAGCTCCAGGAATTGACCGAGTACCGATTGAAATGTTTCGACAAGCTGATGCAGCACTAGGAGCCATCACTAGTCTTAGTCAAGAAATTTGGAAGATGGCTACTTGGCCAACTCACTGAAAGACATCCAACTTTGTGCCCATTCCAAAGAAAAGTGACCTCACAGAATGTGGAAATTGTTGAACGGTATCATTAATATCATGCATGCAAAATTTTAACTGAGAATCATTCAGTAATGGTTGCAACAGTTAAAGACGGAGCTGGCAGAAGTTCAAATGATTCAAAGTGGATGATTCAAGAGGAACATCATTGCTGATGTCAGATGGATCTTGGCTGAAAGCAGAGAATATCGAAAGATGCTTGCTTGTTTTATTAACTATGAAAAAGCATTCAACTGTGTATATCATAAGAAAACTATGGATAACATTATGAAGAATGAGAATTTCAGAACACGTTTTTGTTTTCTTTTGGAACCTTTACATAGTCCAAGAGGCAGTCTTTTTTTTTTTTTTTAAATCATTTTATTGGGAGCTCTTAAAACTCTTGTTACAGTCCATACATCAATTGTATTCAACATATTCGTACATATATTCCATCATTCTTTTCTAGACATTTACTTTCCATTGAGCCCTTGGGATCAGCTCCTCTTTTTTCCCCCTCCCTCCTCCTGCCCCATCAACCCTCTTGTGGCCCCTTGATAGATTGTTAATTATTTTCAAATCTCACACAGACCATTGTCTCCCTTCCCCTCTGGTTTCTGTGTTCTTCCCCCTGGATGGGGGTGTCTGGTTATGTGGCATTCATTGCAATCGATGTCCCCTTCCTCCCCATTTCTCCCTTCTTTCCCCCTACCCTTTTTTGTATTTCTATTCCAATTCCTATTCCTGGGTTCCATGTGTTGTCAGTTTTATCTCTTGTCTATACCTATGTACATGCTCCTGTCTAGTCTAGATTGATAAGCAGCACTGGGTCATGATAGCAGGGGGTGAGGAGCCTCAAGGGATCAGGGGTATATTGTGTGACCCATTCATGCTCTACTGCACCCTGATTGACTCATCCGCTCCCTGCAACCCCTCTGTGGGTTGTCTATAGATGGGCTTTGGGTTTCTGCTCCAACCCCCCTCCATTTTCACCAATGCATTTTTGTTTTTTTGTTTACTGTTTGTTGTGAATCTTCTGATGCCTGTTGCCCAGTCTTGATGACACCTCATGATCACACCGGCTGGTGTGCTTCTTCCATGTGGGCTTGTTGCTTCACTGTTGGATGGCTGCTTGCTTAACTTCAAGGCTTCAAGACCCCAGACACTATATCTTTTAATAGCCAGGCACCATCCTCTGTCTTCCCCACATCTGCTTTTGTACCCATTTTTTCTTCAGCAATCATGGGGGGTTGGAGGGTGGGGGTGAGCATCATAGAATGCCAATTTTTTAGAACAACCAAGAGGAAGTCTTTTGAACAGAACAAAGGTACACTGGTGTTAAATCAGGAAAGGTGTGCGTCAGTGTCATATCCTTTCACCATCATCATTCAATTTGTATGCTGAGCAGAAAATCTGACAAACTGGATTATGTGCAGCGGAATGCAGCTTTAGGATTAAAGGAAGACTCATTAACAAGTTGCACTCTGGCGATGACACAACCTTGCTTACAGAAAGAGAAGACTTGGGGTGCTTGCAGATGAAGACCAGAGACTGTAGCCTTCACTACGTATTACAATGTAATGTAAAGAAAAAATGCTTACAGCTGGATCAATAGACAGCATCATGGGAAATGGAGAAAATATTGAACTCACAAGGAACTTACTTTACCTGCATTCCACAATCAACACTTAAGGAAGCAGCAGCCACTCTGCTCCAAAGGTTATCTTTAAAGTGTTCCAAAGCAAGGATGTCCCCTGTAGAAGTAAGGTGCACCCGACCCAAGCGTTGGTCTTTTCAGCCTCCTCCTATGCGTGCGAAAGCTGGACAGTGAAAGAGGAAGACAACAGAAGCGTCGATGTGTTCGCATTAAGGTGTTGGTGAAGAATGTTGAAAGTGCCATGGACTGCCAGCAGGCCGGAAGGTCAGCAGTTTGAACCCACCAGCTACTCCTTGGGAGGATGATGGAGCTTTCTATCCCTACAAAGATTTGCGGTCTTTGGAACCCAAAGGGGCAGTTGTACTCTGCCTTGTGAGGGTTGCTATGAATCAGAATAGACTCTCTGGCTATGAGTTGTTTGTTTATTTGTTTTTTTAGTGGGCAGGGAGTTGATGTTGCTGGGGCAGGACCAACTCAGAACAGTAGGGTGAGCATGGTTACACAGCTTGAAGAATGCCTTCAGTGTCATTGGAGCAACTGTTGGGTTGGTGTGTTTTGCTATGCCCATTCTGAAAACCAAAATTAAAATAAGTTATATTTTAAAACTGATGTGAAGACTGGAATAAAAGAGATCCAGAAAAACACAACCTTCCTCCCCTTCCCATGTTTGACACGTAACTCCCACCCCAACCAAACTCACTGCCATCGAGTCCATGCCGACTGACAGTGACCCCATAGGTCCGGGTAGAACTGCCCCTGTGGGTTTCAGACACTGTACCTTTTGATGGGACTAGAGAGCCTCATCTTTTTCCTGCAAAATGGCTAGTGGTTTCGGGCTGCGGGCCTTGCGCTTCGCAGGCCAATGCATAACCACTACGCCACCAGCACTCCTCCTGACAAGTAACTATTGGTAAATAAATCACTGATCAAAATAATTTAAATTGTGGATCATCTCTATGTACTCAAAGAATGTGCTTTTTGGTTTTGTGAGTAATTGCTGCCCTCTAGTGTTGTACTCCTGATAGCAAAATCTGATTCTGGTTAGCAAGAGATTCCAACTATCTGATTCATTAATGTAGTAGACATTTATTTGAAACATGGAGTAAACTATATAATCACAAAGCCTAAACAGACATAGCAAATGTTGTTTTCCAGAGCTTCAGGAGGGAATATCATTAAGTTTTTTCCATATAAACAACAGTATAGTAAATGTTATTATACTCTTATAAGTATATTCAGTTTTAGGAGAGTGTCTTGCAAGTACAGTAGTAAATATGATATTAGTTCTGTATATAAGAATCTAGAATTTTCCACATAATCTAAGTTCTTGTAGGGCGGGACTTTCTCTGGATATATTATTAGTAATTGTTTTGAATGGTCCATTCAGTATTTTCTTAGTTGGACATTCCTTGGTCAACAATGAAAGAGTGTTTGCTTTCACATCTTTAGTTGTTGTACTTGCTGGGTGCTGCGGAGTCAGTTCCATCTCATGACGACCCGTGTCCAACAGAACAAAACCCTGCCTGGCCTGGTGTCATCCTCCCAAGGGTTCCCATGTCTGAGCCCCTGTTGCAGCCACCGTGTCAATCCTTCTTGACAGGGGCCTTCCTCTTTTTTGTTGCCCCTCTGCTTTACCAAGCACAGCGTCCTGCCTTGGGTCTGGTCTCTCCTGACAACATGTCCAAAGTCTATGAGACAAAGTCTCGCCAGCCTGATGCTCAAAGGAGCATTCTGGCTGTACTTTTCCAAGACAGATCTGTTTGTTCTTTTGGCAGTCCGTGGTACTTTCAACATTCTTCGCCAGCATCATAATTGAAATGCATTGATTCTTTGCTGGTCTTCCTTATTCATTGTCCAATCTTTACATGCATATGAAGCGATTAAAAATACCATGGTTTGGATCAGGCACACTTTAGTCCTCAGAGTAACAGCTTTGCTTTTCAACACTTTAACACTGCTCATGGAAGAGCAAATGATGCATTGCGTTAGGTGCATCTGCTACACAAGACCTTTTTAAAGTGTTGGAAAGCAAGGGTGTCTTTAGTAGAAATTTATAACCAGGTTACAACTTAATCCACTTCCTTCCTGCCTTTAATTTAAAAACTAATAATAGTTTTATAGCTAGTGAGAGAGGTATAGGTTTTAATCATATAGGCTGGATTTAGAAGGTATTCTAAACTTTAAAATAATTATTAAAATTGGTAACAAATGTTAAAATTAATTTATGTTTCTACAACTGATTACTTTGCTTCTTGTTTGGGTGTATTGCTTAATGCATTAGTGAAAAGATACATTATCTCCTGCCAGGGGGATTGATACGCTTTTGGAGTTAAAACCAGTCATCGAGGAACTCCTGCGAGGAAAACATGTGATTCTGCCTTTTCAAGGCGTGGACACATTTGGAGACCAGGTTGGATTTGTGAAGGTGGCGGAAGGAGGTCACTTGGACCTACTTCTGGAGATAGCAGGTAAAACAAACAACAGCACACATGGCAAATATCGTCTGTTATATAAGCAAGTTCATTTCTATTTTTTGTAATAGAAATTGATGTCACTTAATTTTGGGAGCTGTATAATCTCATTTTATATGTGAGGTGCTTTGCTATTTGTCGGTGCAAGAATGCTGTGGGAACAGTGTCTAACTTCCCTGACTTCCCAAAGGGGAAGGAGAATCAAACGCAACATCAACTCAGCGCCAATTACTATCAGGTGGAGGTCAGACCTGTCTTCAGCTGTCCACCTTCATTGTCAATTCTGACACCAGCCATCTTTCCGATAGCACTCTCTGATTCACATCTGGGCTTGAAAATTCATTGTAGTGACCACATGGAACAGAGAGACAATGCTGATGAATTGTATTAGGGAAGTGACCAGGCTACAATTCAGGATCAGAAAATGTTGAAGTTACAGGTGATCAGTTAGGAACGCCTCTTCTTAGCTGGGCATGCAGGCAGGCCTCTCTCTAATTCTTGGCCTCCTTGGGCACAAGGCTCCTTGGCCTCTGCCTTGTTGGGGCAATGCTCTTTTTTTTTAAAGTCGTTTTATTAGGGACTCATGCAACTCTTGTCACAATCCATATACACATCAATTGTGTAAAGCACGTTTGTACATTCATTGCCCTCATCATTCTCAAAACATTTTCTCTC